TTATTTCAAAATTGAAGTTACCATATGACAAATATTCAGTGGACAAAGTTTGAACAAAAATCTATTGTCACTTTTATTTCAGAGGAATTACCTTAAGCTAGGTCAGGATTTAGCCAATTAGCTTTGTGGCCATGGCTGGCAGCCTGGTTTTTTAGCTGGCATTGCCATAGTTTCGCAGAGTAAACTTTCCCAGCAAGCCCGTCAAAAAGCTTGGAAAGTTAGGCAGGGCTTTGCTAAACTTGACAAATGGGGAGCTAAAAGCCATGGTTGGAACACTTAGGCTTGGAATTTTTAGGCTTACGTTGGCCAACCTGACATCTGGAAAATTTTAGCTGAACGTATTGAACTCTAAACATAAATTTGATGTACATTGTAAAATGCAATTTAACAAGTCCTACGATCTGATCACACATGCACAACAACCACTACATGTGGAAGGGAGCTTTGGGAGGGTTGAAAGCCTGTCATTTGAAGCATTGTTGCATCAAATAATTTGGAGGGAATTATTATCCAAATTGAAGCCAAATGACTAGTCCCAATGGTAGCTAAAAGGCACAGAGAGAGTGATAAAAATATATCAAACATACCTCCACCCCCAAGGTGAAACATGACATTAGAGTGATCTATCCCTGATATCTGTGAAAAGAACAAATACATTAATTATGACATGATAATGTAAACTCTCCAAAACCCAACATGCAAATATCAATAAGATAATTTTTGTATCCATTACAAGTTGCACCTAATCTGTATACACTTTATTTGACATAAATGACAAATAAAATTGTTTAGGTTCTATGTAGTTTTGGCCACTCACCAGGACTGCATTGTTTAGTTTTAACTTCTCTTATACCCATTTTTGTGGGATGAGTCCAGCCAGGTTATCCCTAGGCTTGATTTCCATTGCTCTCTCATGCCAAACAGCAGCTGGAAACCAAGCCAAGGTTATCCCAGTGTAAACCCAACAAGGTGAAAGAAGGTTAGTTACCTGACGTATCAAATTATTAAAAAAAAAAAAAAACTTTGTATGATTAGGCAACTGGTCTCATGTCTGTCACTTAACCTGTAGGAATTTCTTAATGAGATCTTGCCTTTAAAACTTTTCAAGAAGGCTCCTGTTAGCATTATTATTTTTTTTTTCAAATTGCCTGTCAACAATATGCCATTTACTAGGGTGGTAAAAAAGCACTGTAGGAATCTCTACTAAGGAACGCTGACTTAAGATTTTTTAGCTGGCATTCACCACACCAACCATTTCACTGCCATCATGCCAACCAAAAGGGTAGTTTAATTTAAATATTTAATGATACCCAATTCATGTATTAATAATTATTGACACTGGATTGAAAATGAGAGTACAATGTAATTATTTACTTGTCAAAGGGTATGTTACAGTAAAATTTTACTTCAGCTGGAAATATTATATGGAAATCATATCTCGTCAAACATGTAGAATAACAATATTCTATTTTTGTTTCAGGACAAAGGTTTTGGGTTGTTCATTTAAATTACATTTCACAACCAAGATTAAGCTTGAGTCAGCAGTGGTGAAACTTCTAACTTCAATTCTGTATATGTAAATAAATTTATCGGTGGCAATATTATTCAAATGAGGGTATTGTTAATGAGTTTTTTTTTTGTTGTTGTTTTTTGTTTTGTTTTGTTTTGTTTTGTTTTTTTACATGATGCTGTTTTTTGCAAATGATACAAGGTAATTCTGACTTGATTCTGACATATAACTCAGAGGATGAAATCCTGTGTGACCATTCAAATAAAATTTTGTTAACATTATTTACCTTTCATGAGGTTCAACTTTGAAAAGTTCAAGATGGTTCTAACTTTTAACTATGTTGATGAAGCCTCATTGTATGATTCCAACCCTAGTAGAACAACTACAGTACCATATGGTTCAGCTCAGCATAAATCATACTGTTTAAAAGTGGTTGTAGATTGAAAGTCTTTGGATAAAACCTAAGTGTGCATCATTAAGCAGACAGCTAATGACAACAATACAGCTGCAAGATGTTGCTTGTTTATTTGATTATTTGTTTGTTGTTGTTGTTGTTGTTATTTTTTTCAGTTTTTGGACCTAGGCAAATGATATCAATGTTTCTTAATCTCCTGTTTGTAAACATTGATTCTGTACCAGTTTTTCACTTTTACATATTAAACTTTCAGCCATGTATTATGTCATGGTCTCTGCTACAAAAATCAAATGATAACTGTCTGTAGACACAATGTCCAGTAATGACATACAACAGCAAATATAACTGATTTTTTGTCAAGTTGATCAAGACATCCACAGGGGCAGTACAATTACTGTAAAGGATCACTTGTTGGGCTTATTAGACCCCTAACTTGAATTAGGGTTCATAATAATAATAATAGTAATTCAAGTTATCATCAGCAGGACTCTATTCTGTCAGTAACCACCACAGTTTATCTACCAGAGTATTGGACAAACTAGGAGGTATCAGCTATCCAGGGTGGAGGGGAAATAGGGGTGTCTGGTGTTTTCCTGTACCTTTCCCCATGTGTCCCACCCCTTCCTTAGTGGCTAACCCCCATTGTGCAATGTTGTAAAATTTCTCCCTATTTTTCTTGTTTTCCCACCCAAGGGTCGAATCCCAATCCATATCCACGCGGATCACACTTCCAGTATCGTTCCTTGCTCATTTGATCCCAGGTCCCCTTTCACTCCAGGGGGACTGTCTGTATTCCAAGTTTGCTACCATCGAAAACAGAATTGATGGTTGAGTAGGTTATTGCTTGATAGCTGTGTAATTTATTTTGCCTCCACAAAGACAGAAGGAAATCATGGGTGCTTACCATTTACAAAAACCATCCGGTTGGAAATTTCAGGCATAAAGATTAAACAATTGAATGCGACGTTGCAGGAGAAGGAATCGCTATAAAGTATATCCACATCAGTTAGAGAGACTTGAAAGAGCAGAAAAATAACATCACCTCAAATCACAGCCCATATTTTCTGAAGCTTCCCTAACGGAATGGCAAAAACCATTTGATTTTCCAACTGGAATTTCCGGTTTTCCCATGTAAATGGTAAGTACCCCATGTCTAATATTTATAAACCATAAAAAAAAAATAAAAAAAAAATGAAAGTATATCAAAATAAGAAAAGATTTTATGTAATTTCCTTAAATGTAAAAATAACTCAAACACTCCAGTGGAATGGATCAACAACATGAACGTAATATATTTCTATTTCTATGTTTTTTTCAACACTTCTGACGAAAATCCATTTTATTATTGGCTGACCCTAAATCAATTTAATGCCCTTCAATTCTCCACATGGGGAAGATAGAGTATCTGATACAAAAATACCTTTCAGTCACTTGGGAAATCTACTGTGAAGATTTATTTTATTTATAAAGCTGTCCTTTCTTAGGTGACAAGCTGTAGATTTTAGAAATTTTACTGGCAACCAGTTTTTACAATTTTACAATTCAAATTGCAATGTTTACATCTGGACCAAACATTTTATGAGGTCCAGCAAACATATACTCCAGTTTGAAATAACTGTAAACCACCAGACATTTTTGGCAATAAAACATAATATGATAATATCACAACAGGGAAGATATTGATCTGTTAAAACACCACCAGACAGTAGGAAATGGAAAAAAAAACAAAATTTCACTTTAGAACATACGAGTTATTTACGACCAGGGGAAACTCATTGCAATCGGCCAGCGGCGGGTAGAAACACTCTGAGTGAGTCGTGTTAAACTGTCGAACACGTCCATGTAGTTTCAATAGGTTCTTTTGATAAGTACATTTAGATATCGTGTTAACATGGATCAAATTGCTGGGAAAGCTACACCGCTTCTTGTCTGTCTGTTTCTACTTTGAAAGCACGATAACAAGCGAACCTTGGCTATATTTAGCGGCGGAATCTTTGCCTCCCCCAGATTAAACGCAAAATGTATTTGACAGTTTTACACCGCGGTTTAATTCACGTGCGACAAAAACATCAAGTACTTTTGAGTTGTAAGAGTATTTCTGTTCGAAAATAATCGACCTCTCTTTATTAAGCTTCTAAACAAGATTCAAGCAACTTTGGGAAGCTGCTAAGCATGAACAATGTCAAATCGCCGACTTCCTGAAATAAAACCACGCTATTCAATTTCGTCGTCGGCAACCGACAACATAAGGCTTTATAGTACGAGTTCATTGAATCTTAATGTAAATTTGTATAAAAAACGATATCACAAAGCATTTCAATGCAGATCGGTGCAAGCGAGAAACGAGGTTTATTCATGGGCAACCTACCGAACCACCCGTTCACGAGGTGTCAGATACAATATTTTCGTACTGTACCAGCGACAATTTAACCCAATAAGTGCAGGGCCGGTTCGCTTAATCGCAGATCTTGGTACAAAATGTTGCCCTCGAGGTAGACAATTTGTAAATACAACATCTCACTCGTCCATAAAGCCCTTTGACACGCAGGGGTTGGGTTAATGGCAGTTTACCAATAGGAGGTATTTCAAATACGCTATTCATTTCACACATTAACATGCAAGCGTGCTTATCATTAAACTACAAAGGACTTCGATCGTGTTTTCCTTAGCGAAGACACGAAATGCTAAACTCCCCCAACAACGCCGGGAAATGCTTTTAAAAGTAACCGGCTAGAAGAGAGAACTAGATTACAGTTTTCTGGCACCTTACAAGCGCTAAATTTCACTCCATTTTACTATTTAGTTACATAATCTAATGAAGCATACCAAGCAGTGTGTCAATCGACAAAACACGCAAGACCAGGCAGTGTTGAAACAAGCGACGCCTAGCTCGGGAGAAATATAAAACAATGGGCTTACCAACATAAAACTGTTCCTTCTGCCGTTTGGTTGTTCTTTAGAAAGCTTCGAAATTATCGTCTCCAGGTTCTGTCTAGGAAATAAAGCGAAATAATTTTAATTACAATCAATTTTCACACCAAACACATGTGCGTGAACAACCCATTCAACTTAGGCGCCAACCCGAGCAGGCATTTCGCAAACAACGTGGATGCCTTCTATCAACTCAAACCGGCTCCAAAATTACCCCTTTCTCGTTTCTCCAAATTCCCCCATCACAATCCCTGGTCCGATGGTGTTCGCTTTTGTGAAAGCACCGAATTTCGAGAACTAAATACAGGATTATTGTTTTCGGCGAAAGGTCAACATGTCTTATGCCTCCACCATCTTTGCATTCCTGGTCGCTCTAACTGGAACCCTGGTCAGCGGTTGCTTCTTGTCACGCGAACTTGACACGCAATCGATGTACCGGAAGGGAAAGACTGGGTCAAACTCACGCAAACACGACATTCGCTCTTGAATTGACAGGTATGTGTTGGAAAAGTTGATTTTGTCCAGCCAACAAATTCTAAGACAGAATAATGCCAACCTGATAAATCTTTTTCTCCTCTGGTTGCAAAAAATGGTGTCGTCTTTGGTTCTAGCATTCATGCGTGATGCTGAGTTCTTCTGCAAAGGTTAGAGATCACGCAACCAACTTAAAATGCTAAAGGAAAGCCAATTCAGAGCAAAAGAACCAATTGCAAGCATTTTGTGGGCTCATAAATTTTATCATATTTATTTGCTTGCCTAATGAAAGTAATATATTTAAATATATATATTTTTCCTACAATTATTCTTTCAGCGCTTGATTCTTCTCTGGCACCAAAGCTTCCGGTCACGAAACGACGTATAAGTTCTATCACTTAGAATGTAGGGCAACCTCTGTAATTAACTTGGGAAAGCTCTTGAAAGGTTTAAGATGTGAAATATATTTTGTTCATAGGGTTGTGGTAGTAACACGCTTTGAACAGAGGCGACAATTCTTCAACTGGAATCATTGATTCCCGCTATAAAAAAATAAATAAATCAGATGGAATAAAAAGAAAAAAAAAAAGAAAAAAAACACAATTAGCGCTTCGTAGTGAGAAAAAACAGTTTTTGCTTTCTCCGTTTAAGGGAGCACGCTTCGTTCGTGTTAATTAGGAAACTACCAGTGTTGAATTGTTATATGAATCCCCCAGGAAATATCCTTCCTTGCGACTCGCGCCAACTTGGATTTTGAAGCTATCAGTGCTCACGAGATCTATAGTAAGCTCTCGGTACCGGCTTAGGTTCAGTACATGGCGTGTTATGATTTTGTAAACACTATTTTCGTGGAAGCGCGTTTCAAAACAAAATATATTGCGTTTGAGTCCTCATGAACACGATAAAGAGATTGCTTGAAGTATTGTTATTGTATTGAAAAAGCTTGTCCAAAACTTCGATATCCGGTTGGGCAGTTGTAAATGTGGTTATCCACTTGGCCCAATCCTCGCGCGATCGTAGGGAGAACTAACCGTGGGGGTGGGGGTGAGTGCAATATACTGAGTAATAATTGCTACGATTACACTAGAAATTAAACCGGCTAATCTAGTGTACACACCGGTAGTACGGTCACTTCTAGACCACGAGCATTCAACGAATAAGCAAGATATTTCCTTTACGTCTCGCCCATTGTCTCTGCGGTTTTTGCTTGTTACGTAATTGTTTATGCAATGTAACACCATTGTGAATTTCTGATACACGGTGTAGGTTTTCTTTCGGAAAAACTCTTGAATGCTACCATGTCTTTCCACTCAGTTCTCTGTTCTCTTCTCCCTTTTGCCTGTCTCAGCTATGACCGAGCTAGGCGGTAAGTTTTACGAGGTCAAGGTTAAAACAAAGTTCGTATTTTAGAGCAAACGTTTGAAAGAAACCTCCATTCAAATCCCAAAACTACCTGTAAACAATATAACTATTATCTCCTGCTGCAAGCAGTTCTGCATGTATGGTTAAACAAACCGCAACGGTTAACGTTAAAAGATGACTGGACTCAAAAGAGAAATGAATCGTGAAATAAGTCCTTTTCCCACGGGTGCGTATTGAAGGCCATATACCGATTTAACGGAATATTGTAAGTTCTTTATGAGATCATACGCTTCTTATAAAGCGTTTCCGGTGTATGGAAATAAATTAACGTGTAACTTCTACAGTCCGACCGGAAACAAATTCCAATCCAGTCCAAAAAGGCCATTTCCGGTGCGAGTTATCTTGTGCCTCTGTTTTGAAACGAGACTTCGTGCAAAACCTTTCATGAGAAAATGAGTTTGATTTGCATGAAAATGAACATGTAGGTGGAACACATTTCCATATGAATGGTTTCGCACGAAGACCCGTTTTAGCTTGTTTTGATACAGGCAAAGGACAACTCTAAAGTGGCCCATTAGGGAAGGACATTTTTTTTTTTGAAGGGGTGGGGATGGGTTGTCAGTTTCCAAAAAAAAAAAAAAAGTCTGCAGAGAAAAACTGCGGGAGAAAAAATCATGCAAGGAGAGCCATGGGAAAAATAGAGCAAGTGCTGTCTACCAACCTCGTTCTTATCGTGTGTTTTGCCTTAACAAAAAAATATCCTTGCACAAGCTATTGCCCACCAAAAA